CTTGGACAGACAGCTATTTACATCACAAGATCTGCAAATTGGTAATTCCAGTGAGGAGGACAAGCTAATTACTTAACAGGCATGGCAGATACATAGTAATCTCTTGACCATATTTACCTATTACTAGTGGAAAGAAGTTGTCCTTGTTGATGTTCCTGTGATGTTCTGCAGATCAGCAGATACCTTCAGCACTCCTTTCATGTGTTTACAGAAGCACTGAAAAGAGAATTTAGAAAGTGAGAGATTTAAGCCTCTTTACAGGGAAAGGGGCATGTGGTGAATCTGGGTGCGAAAAGTCAAGAGCTGCAAGCTGCCAAACTGCCCACCAACCAACTTTCCTGGGTTTGGGTGATTTACTCCCAAAGTAAAACATGGCCTATAGGAGAGGAAGTGGATTGACAATACAATCAATACATCTATGCTGTGTTATCCTGTCATTGTTTGGACTTCTGTGAAGTGCAGTGTTTCCTATGTGATGCTGATTGCAGCACCCCATTTAAAGTACTGAAATTGTCAACAGTGTTGATGCCACCATCACTTTAAGTAAATATCTTGAAAAACAAAGGGGATTTAAACTTTAAAATGCTCGTGCAGGCTGTTTGGTCTGTAATACTCTAGAGCTGCAGAAGTGCCTAGTTGGTGTTAATTGCCCTCTCCACAAGTACGTTATTTGTTTGGGTTAGTTTGTTGCTGTTGTTTAAAACAAGAAACTCCTGAATCAGTGCATCTGATATCCGAGTGCAATTTACTAGAAAATTAAAGGTACAAAGAGGCATTCTCCAAATCGAATCAAGCGTAAGGGCTGGATGTGGAATAAATCCCCAAATACTTTATGAGTAACTATGATTTTCAGTTCTTTAATGATTGATACAGAGCTGTTATTTCAAGTTTACCACTAGCAGCTTATCTCCACTCCGAGAGCATGCAGGAATGTCACAGGAAATTATGAATAACCGCTTTGACCGATTTTTCCCTTATCTGCAGTAGTGGGCCCACCAAGCAATGAAGTTGGAAGTTGGCTTTGCGTGGGATCCCTTCCTGAGGCAGGTCTGGGAGGCCGTTCTGCCAGGGCTTACCTTGGTCCGGGGGGACGCTGAGGAGAATGTCCCTGCCGCGCTCGGAGAGCCCCTCAGGGGGAGCGCGGGACAGGTGCTGGGGGCTCTTGGCGGGCACCTCAAAACGGCTGCTACAGGCTGCACCTCAGCGGGGGTGCGCCGCTCGGGGCCGCCTTTTGGGGCAGGTCGTAGGCAAAGGGAGCCGGGCCCAGCTGCGCCGGGCCGGGGGCGGCGGCGGGCCGGGGGGATGCCGGCGGTCGCGACGGGCCATGGCGGGCCGGGCCGCGCAGGTGGGCGCGTTGAGCGCGGCCACTCATTAGCAGCAGCCGCGCGCCCCGCTGCCACGCGCGGCGCCGCGGAGCGCAGCGCCCCCCGCGGAGCCCCCGCTCCCCGCTTCTGGCCGCGCCGCCTCAGCCCTCGCCACCCGGGCAAGATGCAGAAGGGCTGGAAGAAGTACTTCGGGCAGAAGTCCTTCAGCGAGGTGGCCATGGACGAGTACCTCGGCAGCCTGGGGCTGTACCGCAAGATGACGGCCAAGGATGCCTCCTGCCTCTTCCGAGCCGTCTCGGAGCAGGTGGGCACCGGTAACGGCCTCGGGGGGAGCCGGGGCGCCTCAGGCCCTCGGCGGGGCGGGCGGGGTCCTTTGCCGACCCGCGGCGGGCAGGGGGTGCTCCTAGAGACCGCTCCTGGGTGCCCGTGGTGAGGCGTCGAGAGCGGGGACCTGTGTGGGGACGGCTGCAGCCTCCCGGGTCACTTGGGTTTTCCTCAGCTTCTTCACCCCGAGCCCCCTGCAGTGTCTCCTCTGGTGGTGTTAACCTTTAAAGAAACCTAATGTGAAGTATAAGTTAAACTCTGCGATTTTCTCCTTGGTTCTTTCACAACCTTTATTTTCTTTCAGCTGTGTTCATCTCAAATTCATCACGTGGAAGTCAGGAAAGCTTGTGTCTTGTTTATGAGGCAACACCAGCATAAGTTTGAATCTGTAAGTAATGTGTGCATTAGGCAGTTTTGCACACTAAGCGAGGGAGTAACATGGGAGGGTTGGCGGTTTAGCCATAAACATGCCAGTGTAAAATCATACGCGCTGCAAACATGTCATGCTTTGTCAGGCTGGATGCATGTGAGAGAAGAGAAATGGCAGGGGGATTGCTTGCTTGCCTCACTTGAGTTGCAGTCTCACAAGTTTTGTCTTTATATTTGTGAAGTTCCTGAACTCACAGCAGGTGAGTTACCTCAAGCAAGTTACTAATACCCCTGTAACCAGTAAGGTGACAGTCGTTTGTGTAGTATATTCTCTGTGGAGCAGCCATTGCAAAATTTAGTAATTGGAAAATAAGTAGGACTTTTGGACTAAGAAATGAATATCAAGAGATGGTGGAAAACTCCAGAGTGTCTTCAATCATTGCATGAAGTCATGGTTTTGTGGGGTGTTTGTTTGTTTTGTTGATTTTCCTTGTGGTTTTATGTGGTGGTTTATGTGAACTTGGGGTGTGGTTTGGGTTTTTTTGGTGTGTGGTTTGGTTTTTTTCCCTGTGTAAGAGCAGTTAAATGCTTCATCTAATCTAAGGGGGAGGCGAGTCACTGAATATTACACAAACTCATGCTCTTAATTTTTTCAGAAACTCTTGGTATTTCCACATTGGTATCCCAAATCATTCCCATGCTCAAAGGCAGGGAACAGCTGAAATCATACCCCCCATGAGACTACAGCCCTTCAGAACCCTAAAACAATAGGAACTGGCAGACTAGTCCCAAGTTTGGTGTCCATGCCCTCGGCCCTTGCACTGCTCCCTCCTGTTCAACAGCTAGTAACACACCGTATAGTGCATAGGTTTAACTTGCCAACTGTTTTTATATTTGTTTTCTTCTTTGTTTTGTTGAAAGTATGTGGAAGGATCATTTGAGAAATACCTTGAACGACTAGGAGACCCAAAGGTAAGACTTGCTTCTTGAGGTTAAAATTTGAGGAGACTTGAACAGGAAAGTAATTAGGTGATGATTTAAAGTGTGGTGGTTGGGGTAGTTTTTTTTAGATAGACCCCAATTCTGGGGTCTCAATTGCATAGGTAATACTATGTGTTTGTTCTCACTATTCACAATGTATAAACAATATCAGTTTTAGTGGGGAATTTGTGTTGGTGAAAAGGAGCAATCTGTGCAGACTGAACAGTAAAGTTGAGGCCTCTTGTGGGCCTTATTCATAATTGCAATTGTTCTCTAAGAAGGAATAGTGGAATATCTGGAGTGTACCTCACATCAAACGTTCATCAGACTTTGCAGTCCCTTGCTGCTTTTACCCCCAGGTTCGAATACTAGAGTTGAAAGTCTTTATTTCTTTAGGCTTGAACCAGTAAGTATGGTGAATGCAGCAGTCTCTAAAACAAATGCTGTGTATTTAATTAACAAAAATGCATCGTGAGTGATGTGCTGCTGAAACTAGCTCTGTCTTACTCAGCTTGGTAATCATGGGTATCCCATGTTACAGATTTCTCTCTTTTTTTTTTTTTTTTTTTCCCCTGGAAATGCTAATATCTCAACTCTGAATGCATTGGTTGGTTGTTTTAAAAAACAAACCAAATACTTCGGTTAAGTATTTTAATATGGCAGAGAGCTAGACTAGAGTTCTCAGTGTTGGAGAAGGCACTGCTATCTCATGTAATCTCATGATCTTGCATAGGAAAGTGCTGGCCAGCTGGAAATGAGTGCTTTATCAGTGATGTACAAGTAAGTGACTCTTTTTAAGTTTCACTTTGTTTTGGACTTGATGGTGTTTGGGTTCTGGCCCCCAGAACCTTTTATTTGTTTATTGCTGAGATGCTAATGTGTGAAACGTGAGAAATGCTACTGAAACAGACTTAAACTAACATGTGAATGGGAGCGATCACAGCCCCTGTTCTCGTATTTGGATTAGGGGGAGGGTCGGTTCCAGCGGTGTTTATTTGTTAGCTTTCTGCTATTGTTAAACTCTGAAGTTAAGTGTTTCCTTCTAGTGGCTGAAGGATGGAAAATGGGAAAAACCAGGAGCTGTGCGTGGTGGAAACACTGTGTGGTAGTTAGGATGAGTAAAACTCATGTAGGTGTTCTTGAAAGCTCTGGTACTGAGAAATACTCACCCTGCTTGGTGCATAAACGCTGATATTTATTTCAAAGGTAACGTAATCCTGCAGAGATACTGCTGTCTTGCTAAAAATGCTACTATCCTGTAACAAGTAGCCTGGCTCTCCAGTGGTAAAAGGAAGAATCATCCCTTTGCAGGCTCATTCTGTTCCAGTACTAAAGGAATAGACTGAAGTTTTGAACGAGTTACTGGTTCCCTGTGCTGAGGCTCTAGTCTTTTTGCGCAGTCTAAGTCACTTAGACTTAATAGTCTCAGTGTCTCAGCACAGTGCCATGAGCCAAAGTACTTGACCTAATGTGTGACTAAATAAAATGGTCTTTCCCAGATATGTGGTTTTCTTTTTTTTTTTTTTTTTCTCCCCTCTAATAAGATGAGTGTTGTTTGCTTATCTAGCTATTGCTGTATGGTAGCATTCATTTATTGGGAAAAGTATTCTGCTTGATTTTTCTATTAAACCAACAGTGGATTCTCTAAGCAGCTCCCTGCAAGCTTCTTCATAACATGGCTCTACTAAGACTGTGCTCTTTGAAGTCTTGTTTTTCCTCTGCTTACCTAGGCGAGACTTTATTCTGTATCGGTACCCTGGAAAGCCACCTACTTATGCTACAGACAATGGCTTTGAAGACAAGGTGAGAAGAAGTGAGGCGATTTCCTACCCTTACCCTGAATCCTAGTTACCTCCAGTCCTCCTTAGTTGTAAAAATGTGCCACTGGAATAGAGTTCTTTTAAGTCCAGTGCTCTTGCATACCTGAACAAAATCCCAAAGCTGACTTCAGCTCATGGAAAAAGCACAGTATTTGCACATCAGTTAACTCAGTTATAGTAGACTTGCTTTCCATCTGCAGGATGGATTGCGTGCTGTTCCTCTGCCATTCTTTTTTGTTACTCCAGCTCATTATTGGAAAGAAGTTTATTTTTGGTAGGAAGAGGTGACATCACAATTCCAGAATATTCTTTCATGTTTCTGAAATCTCTTTGGGTAAGAATGCTTCCCAGTGGGAATTTGACAGAACTGAGAAGGTAGAACGAAATGCCTGAGAAGAGCAGAACAAGATATATTTATTATACTGGCGAAGAGAATGTGTTCTGCCCCAGTACCTTTCTTCCTGAAGTCTGATGAAGTGTGCAACTTTTGTTCCTGGAAAGGGGAAGTTAGTGGCAATGGATTAATATAACAAATGGATTCATTTCTGTGACATAACAGTTGAGCCCAGTTAAGGATGGGAGCTAATGGAACAGCTTGTCTACACAAGAATTACCACTGGAGACAAAAAGAAGGAACATAAAGGAGAAATACTCTGTGTTAACCTCCCATCTGAGCTCTGTTTTTTCTGCAGACAAATAGGTGTGCCTGCACAATTATGTGGCTAGCTCAGGCATGATGCCAGTAAAGTTGCTGCGGTATGGATTTCAGTATGGGCTATTATGTTTGCCAAAGTGGCTAGTCTGCACTGAAATCTGTGCTGTTGCAGCTGTTCTTCTCTCCTGGTCAGTATTACTGTCTTTGTTTACATGTGCTTCTTTCTTTTTCTGTGTAGTTTCCTGTGTAGCGTAATCAAATTCCAAAATGAGCTAACTTTAAAAATCAAGTGGTACAATCTAAATGTGTGTTTGTCCTGGAAGGCTTTACCACCCGAGCTCTCATTAAGAGTTGGCAGCTGTCTGTCATTACACAGCATGTGCAGGCAGTGGCTCTTTCTGGTGTTGCTCATTCTCACCATGAGATGAGAGCTTATGTTGGCAGAAGACATGGTGCACACTGAATTAAGAGCCCTGGCATCCCGGCTCCTGCTGGGTCACTGGGAAGCATCATTGCTGGCAACGTGCTGACAGCTGCCTAAGGGCTTCTGCCGGTTGCAGTTGGCTGTGGTTACATGCCAGGATGGGGTTTGATGGTATATGTTTACTGGGCGTATCAATGCATATGTTGCAGAAAGCATACATCTTCAAAAGGCAGCATAACATTGCTTATTAAAAGCAAGGCTTTTAACAGGGCTAGAGAAGTAGATGCTCTTCCATCCCCCCAGGTAGGGAAGGATGAAATGTGTCTTTGATACTTGGGCAGTGTATCTCAACGTACTGTATTTAATGGCTTGTATTTATTTTATGTCCTGAGCAATCGGTGGTTTCAGAGGTAAGCTGGAAACAAACTCTTATTTCATGTTTAATACAGCATGATGTACAAATTGATAGTTTTTCTTTATGTAATAGAGAAACTTACATAGAGACTTTACCTAGGATTCAGTTTTAGTCTGATTTTACATCATTTTAATATTTATATTAAAAGTATTTATTGTCGTGGTGAGTTGGTGTCAGCTGTAGAACAGAAGACTAATGTAATCTTGAGCTAGGACATCAAATAGAAAAAGTTAGATTTTGCATTGTTCCAGCCTTAAAGCTTCTTTTTTTTTTTTTTTTTTTTTTTTTTTTTAAAAAAAAAAAAAAAAAAAAAAAAAAAAAAAAAAAAAAAAAAAAAAAAGTTCTAGGAAAAATATTAAACCC